CCGCCGCCGCCGCATTCCTCGACGCCAGCGACCCCGGCATGCTCTGCACATTGAAGCCCCCGTAGTTATTATGAAGCCCCTGCATCCCACCTGCAACGAATTCAAACCAAGCCCCCCATCAAGACTCAAAACTTTCAACCAAGAACGGGCTTTTTAGGTCAAAACGTCGCTCACCGGAGTGATGAAAGCCCGGAGCGGTGGCGGATTGGGAGGAGAAGGACGTAGCGAAGGGACGACCTGAGGAGTCTTGGAGATTCGACGCTGAAACCATGAAGGGGTTGATTGAGATCGGATGAGATTGGAGCGGAGATCTGAGGTTTTAGAGGGTTTGGATCCTGGATCTAGGGTTTTTTAGTCTTTGGAGAGGTTTTCGATTGGAGCTAGGGTTTCGATAGGGTTTCATGAGGGGGGAAGAGAGAGAGAGAGAGGAGATGGATGGGGGTCAATACTCGGAATGAAGTCGACAAGTATTAAGTGGTGGGCAAAAAGTGCAATTAGAGTGAAACAGGGGGGCTAAACAGGAAAGTATACTATTAGAATATGATTTTTTGGTTTATCTTGCTAGTCGCGGAGAAATTTTCAAAACCACTCCTTTTTGGATTTTATTTGCAAAAAACGACCCCTTTTGAAAATAATTATAAAAACCGACCTGTTTTCAACCCAGCGCTGAAAACAGGTCGGTTTTTGTAAAACAATTTCCGAAACATCACGGGAGTTCAACACCCGTGAAGTTTATCGAGGAATTAAAGTTGCAGTCCAAAATTCCCAGAGATCGACTCTCTGGGAATGTTGGACTGTAACTCCACGGGAGTTGAACTCCCGTGGAGTTTTAAGCAGAAATTAAACTTCACGGGAGTTCAACTCCCGCGAAGTTGCAAGTTTTTCCTTACATGCACAGCATGCATACGTCGACCTATTTAACTCATATATACAAATATTTACCTGTTGACAATAATTACTGCAATATATATATTATTTAAACACGCACGAATCAAACAATACGCAAGAAGATCACATATCGAGCTATATAATATTTACCTGTTGCCGGCATTCAAATATCAAGTGACTTCGCACGCTGATGGAGCCGGCACTTCACATGCTGATGGAGCCGACACTTCGCAGCCTCATACACAGCCGAATACTCAGATAGTCGAGGCTCATCAGCGTGGGGGGCGGGGAAGAGCGAGGGGGAGGGGGAAGAGAGGGAGAGGAAGGAGAGGAGCTATATTGGGTTGTATTTGAACTTATTTTGTTAAAATTTATAAATTGTATGAATTTTTAAATACTATACTTTTATGGATCAATTATAGCTCGATATGTGATCTTCTTGCGTATTGTTTGATTCGTGCGTGTTTAAATAATATATATATTGCAGTAATTATTGTCAACAGGTAAATATTTGTATATATGAGTTATATAGGTCGACGTATACATGTTGTGCATGTAAGGGAAAACCTGCAACTTCACGGGAGTTGAACTCCCGTGAAGTTGCAGTCCAAAATTCCCAGAGATCGACTCTCTGGGAATGTTGGACTGTAACTCCACGGGAGTTGAACTCCCGTGGAGTTTTAAGCAGAAATTAAACTTCACGGGAGTTCAACTCCCGTGAAGTTTAATTTCTCGATAAACTTCACGGGAGTGAACTCCCGCGAAATTTTTTTTTACAAAAACCGACCTGTTTTCAGCGCTGGGCTGAAAACAGGTCGGTTTTTGTAATTATTTTCAAAAAGGGTCGTTTTTTGCAAATAAAATCCAAAAAGGGGTGGTTTTGAAAATTTATCCTGCTAGTCGCACCTTTAGATCTTACGTATTTTTACTAAAATATTTTTTAATTGGCTAAAAAACCGGATTGGCCTAAATAGTGACATTCATTTATCACTTTGGCCTAAAAAGTGACACCGGCGGCGGTTTAACCTAAAAAGTGACAAATCGACGACAAATAGACTTTTCTAGTCGCTGGAGTTGTTTTTTAGCAAAAAATTATAGGAATTATATATATATATATATATATATATATATACTACTCAATCTCTCATGAAGCAAAAAATTATAGGAATTATATATATATATATATATATATATATATACTACTCAATCTCTCATGATTTTTAAATTAATCAATCTTATTTCCCTAAATTTCTGAAATTTGTGAAAAAACATCCTCTTTTTCCACTATCTTTTTCCTCCTTCTTCCCACCATCTTATCCATTCTCTTATTCTTCATATACCCTAACCTTCCCCCATCCCTCACTCCCTCTCTTACCTTATTTCATAAATCATCGCACCTACTTTCTAATTTCCTTCATCTCCTCCAATCTCTTTTACTTCAAATCCACAACATCTCCTCCTCTCTCTCATTCCCTCTTCCTTCTTCTCCTCTTCATTTCTCTCACTCTCGCTTCCTACTTGCTTCACTCACTCCCAACACCTAAAATTAACCTCATTTGTCTCTTCTTTTCTTGCACTCTCTCTTCCTCCTAGCTTCCTACTCCTCCTCCATCCTCCAATCATTAAAAAGTCAATCTCTTCAAGAGTGAGGATATGTGAAAGAAAGGAGAGAGAATGGTGACGATTGAGAAAAGGAAAAAATGAAAGAGATGACAATAAGGATGAGGGAAAAGACGGTGGGCAGGGAGGGAGAGAGGAGTTTTTTTTTACAAATTTTAAAACTTGAGGGGTTAAATAAGAAAATATGAGAAATTTGAAGTGGCAAAAAAACTCTTAATTTTCTTGCTTAAAAATCGCTTCTGGTGACCAGAAAGGTTTATTTGTTGCCGATTTGTTACTTTTTAGGTCAAATTGTCGCCGGTGTCACTCTTTAGCCCAAAGTGGTAAAGAGGTGGCACTATTTATGCCAATTTTGTATTTTAGCCTTTTGTAATTACTGACTCAAATCAAGAGTAAAAATAGTAGTAAATTGTATTTGTTAAGTAGTCCAATTGCTACTTCTACTATTGACTCGAGTGTAAAATTTCAAAGTAACTTAAAAATTGGAGGAGCTAGAGTCAATTTCAATGATTTGAGGAACTAATTCAAAATACATTAAAAATTGAGGACCAGCAAACAGTTTCCATGATTTGAAAGACCACTTATTAAAATTGCTATTGGGTCCCCAAATTCTTAAGATATTTTAAAACTAATCCCTCCAATCAAGAATAGGGATAACATTAGGTTGTATTTGTTAAACCATCCAATAGCTACTGTTATACCCCAAAAAAAAATTTAAATGTTAATCTCCACAAAGTAATCGACATGTGTCTTACTCTATACTTAATACGACTAATTCAAGATGAAGATAATGTCCGCCTCAGCTCGGCCCACTGTTCAGCCGACATCTCGCATAACCGAGTCAAAATGCGGTACTACTCGGCTAACCCTCCAATTGATTCCACAAGCGATTTGACTCGACCCACTGTTCAGCCGACATCTCGCATAACTAAGACAAAAAGGCGGTACATGTCGTCCAACCTGCCCAATTGCTTGCGAATAACCCCCACTCGGTCCATTGTAGAAGCCGTCAACATGTATAGTCGACCATTAGTTCGACGACTAAAAGAGTTAGTAGTTTTCTTGAATCCCGCGCCGACAGTCGTCTGTCCTTACATTAACTGCTTCGACAAAGTCATTATTGCTCTAGTCCACAAATTCTTTATGACTTATCAGGCTACCATCAACACCAAGCAGCTGTTGTCGTTTGACAGTGACCACCTGGATGGTCCATTTTCTCCGACGGTCAATACCTATCAGTTGTCTGCCAACTTAGCTGCCTGGCTGGAATCATCCCAAGATACCTTCTTGCCCTTCAGATCCACTTTAAAAAGGAGAAGCACTACATGAGGTAACTCTCTCTCTCTAGCCCTTTTTTTACACAACTAAGAGCTGATCCTATATTTCCCCACTCAAGATCTTGACTTGATCGTCGGAGGAATAACCGATGAACCCAACTCGCCCTCTTACGAGTTCTTTCTTGTGCAGGGAAGAAAAGTACACCCTAGGGTCGTACATCAGAAGAAAACATTATAATGAGTTAGATGACCTTAATCACTCCACGAACATGCAAATTATCCTTTGTTTGATGACCGACATCAACAGCTACTTGTACTTTACTCGAGAAAATAATTTCAAAATAACTTAATAACGGAGGAGCTAACGGGCAATTTCAAAGATGTGAGGGACTAATTCATGTTACGTTAATAATTGAGGGACCTACTGAATGATTTGAGAGACTAATTTCGAAATAAGAAATATGTCGGGGACTATATTAGTTTTTTTATCATATGGATATGGGGATTTCGATGCGGGGAATCTCAACTATGAAATCTTAATAAAACAGTATATAAATACCTCTTTGCAAGAAAAATAGCAGGCAAAAAGTCAGAATTTAGATGGCAGCATAGAGTTAATACGGGTGAATCATCTGAAAAAGATAAAAAAAAAAAATATTTATTACAAATATACTTGGTCAAAGATATATTAATCTTTTGAGGAACTAAATCCTGTTAATTAACAGAAAATAAAGAGAATATTTTCAGGTTTATTTCATAATAGCAGACCGAGGGTAAGAAAAACTTGCGTCGAAGATTCTGAGTAGTGTCAATTGACGTATATCTGTAGTTGAAGAAAAACCTGTAAATATATGAGATTTGGGGTTTATATACGTAAAGACTCCTGAAAAATAATATTCTCACAGCACATTGGAAAAAGTTGACACGGGTCTCTAATTCAAATGAAATTAAATGTCAACTACTGAATGCAGGATAAAATGTGGATAAATGGTTATTTGAACAGATAAATCAGAATCAAAGGATTAGTACTGTGGGACACGTAAAAGTTTCACATGATTGTGCAGGTCTTTTCCTTTATTTATTCCATTTCCATGTGGACTAATAAAGAATTTGCCAGGAGTCAATGATTCAATGATTCAATTGAATGCTTTAGCATAGGGCATAGTGTAGATATACAAATAGGTTGCTTAAGATTTCTTCAATACTTTTGCATTATTCAACTTAATATTGTCAAAGCAAAATAAAGGCTAAATATCCAAAACCCCATAAAAAAGAACTCTTAATTTAGAGAATTTAAGGGGTTGTGTACAAAACCCATTTAACTTTCAAGAGTTGACCAGAAACCCCCCTAAAAACATAAACCACAAATTTCAATGGCAAAAACTTAAAATGAGGTGCTGTGTCACTGATTCCGATGAAATGAATATGATAGTTACTTGGCTGTCCTAAAAAAATAACAATAAATAAATAGATAATAAAAAATAAAATACAACAAATACAACGCATTAAGAAGACATGAGTTCGTTAAAAAAAATTACAACACCTGTAATCAATCCCTATCTCACATTGGAAAATCACTGCGACCAGGACAAAGAAGCAATATTCTCAATATTTATCTCAACAGATCAGATAAGTCTGAGTGAAGAATATGCAAGAGATACAAACGCATATAGTACACAATGACAATGAGCAAACATTTACCAATCTTGGGAAGCGATTTTCTTAGTGCGGTTCTGTCATTCCATAGACCAGGAGGTTAGATGTTGTATGTGGGTCTAAAAGCTCTCAGCAATCACAATAGCCAGACTTAACAAATATTGACATTATCTGTGGAAATATGTCCTTCCTACCGCTCGATTAATGCTCACTCTATTCCCGGTCATTGTTGTTCACCTGGCTTTGCTGCAGGAACCTTGGCGGGGTAGTTGGTTAGATCCGAGTCGATTAATAGCGAGAGGTCGTATGGCTTAGCCGAAGAAGCGGAGGATTCCTTGAGCAATGAAGACTTGATAGCTTCGAAATCTGTTTTGTTCTGTGATGGATTTGTCGTAGCTGGGCTGTTGGAACCTGATGTAGAGACACTCGAGAGTTGTACCTCGTCCAGCCTACCTCCACTCGCATATTTGTTCCTTCTCACAGCATCCATCTCATGGCCAGTCGGCACAAAAGTGCGAGATCGGTATTTCGTTGCTCCCTCGTCACTATCATTATTATTGTACAGCACATAGTCATGATAGGTCGGTGCAAACTGTTACAGGAGATGAAAATAAAGACTTAAGGCAACGGCACTCGATAAGGGACTACTAATATTATCTTTCCAACCAACAAGATTGAGGTGCTCACCTGATGAACTGTGTCATGGTACAAGTCACTGAACTTCAACGCATGTACCAGGCTTCCAGTAAAACCACGAGATGCGCCAATGTTGGCACCTGCATACTCCTTATAAGGGAAAGCATAGAGGTGCCCAACAGCTGCAGCAAGCATCTCCACGCATATCACAAAATTCTGCAAATCAGCAGCTTCTTCTGCATCTCTTATAAAACCAGACTTCGCAGCAAGAAAAACCAAAACACCCTGCAGGAGAAATTTACTTTTGACATTTTTATAGATTGAGAAAATCAAACTAGTCCATGATATAAGATTATATGCTGCACTAAACCCCATTAATTTGGTCCTTAGCACCATGATGCCAACATGATTATTCAGTCTCATAAGAGTAACACAAATATAACATTCCTAAAAGACTAGCTAGCAGGTTTCTCAATAGATCAAAAGAGAGATTTCATCCACAAAGCTTGCATTCACAGCATTCAGTCAAATGAGATAATTTGAATAAGGTTCAAGGATGTCACTAAGAATATTCCCTATGTTGCAGGCAAGTTTCCACACAACTTGATAGAACACTACACAAGAATAACTAAAGAAGTTCTTTTAGAAGAAATATTTGAGTGTCAATAGAGGTTTTTCGCATGGTTCAACTACTTTGTTGCTCTTCACCCAAGAAAATGCACATAACTGATCCTACTTTTTGCGGGATAAAACTTGCTTTCTGTGGTTGAATAATTGCGATATTTGAAAGATATCTGGTATCAACAAATGTATCTACATTGATAAAATTTCTGCAAAACCAATGAAAGTTTAGAAAACATTTTCTAAAAAATGGATAACCATGCTACAACTTTAAACGATAACAAGAGAAAATAACTTCAGGGTTTAATCTGCAACATCCGTTACACCCTCTAGCTAATACTAAGATGCAAGTCCTTCTGATGAATCGATTTTTTCCAAACAGAAAAAAGGAAGACATCAAACTTATGACAGGATGTGAGTCCTGGAGCAACAGTAAGGTTGCTGCTAGGTGACCTGAGGTCAATGATGGGAGCCTAGTGTATTGGGCCACCCTTTTTTCTAACATTTTCAACTAAAGAGGATATTAGTAATAACTCATGCATTTCAGTCACAAGAGCCATTTCTATTTGATGTATCGAGGAAAGTCAAGTGTATTTTACAGAGGAAAACCAAGAAAGGAAGAATAGTTTGGAACCTTATAAACCATTCGGTCCTATAGTTCTCCAAATCCAGACCACGTAATTTTAGATGTGTCATTGACAAACAACACAATAGATGCCTTTAGTTACAAAATCAAGTTAAACTAGATTAATAACTAAAATATATTAAAAAATAATGTGGGTCTGCATATATAACATTCATATCAGCAGAGCTTAACAAATTATTGTGCTTCAAACACAAAAAGGTAGAAGACTCTCAATAGCACAGACATCCACTGGCGGAGCCCCCCCTGCGCCAACTTTCACCATGTGGATCAGCATTATTGACTCTTATAGCAAAAGCTTCAACACACTTGCAACTTGCTAAATGACAAATAAACATAGAAGATGAACAGAAAAATACCTGCCAATATGTCAAAAAGACGACAGATTTGATCAGAATGAACTTCGGCACAGGATTATATGGTCGAAGCAGATCTTTGCATGATAGATAAAACAAGAAAAGTGCATAGAGAGCTATCGTGTATGAGAGGGTGTAGATAATTGTAATATAAAGATAGCCCTCATCAGCACTGAAATTTCCATCTTCATATTTTCCTTTTGCATACAGTATGAATGTAATGACAACCAAAATGGGCTTCAGAATCACAAATTGTAGAGCCCCTTGCTTGCACCTCCGGATAAAGCGTCTGTTCTAAAACAAGACTTGGATGAGCACATCTCATTGATAAGAGCTATATAGTTAAACTTTAAAAAAAATAAGACCTTCTGCAAACATTTTAAAAGAAATTGATTCAAGGACCAGACACTTGCCCATCAAGTGGTATAGTAGGGAAGCAGCATGTCATAAGATACCAGGAAGGTTTCAGAGCTCGTCCACTTAAACTTAATACCACAGCACCAGGGCCTCCAACCCATGCTAAGCAGAGTGAAAGAAAATTATAGATGACCCAAGCTTCATAGCTGAAATTATTTAAATCATGATATGAGAAACTGCTTTTAATAAAAAGTACGCTGAGGTATTGTGAAATATTCTATAAAGAATAAGAAATTACTTAACCACTGCATTAATATATTCTTTTGAACACAAATAAACCTAGAAATGGTGCCATGCACAAAATCAAAGAAAAAAAAAATCCTCTATTGAACTTTTGGGACCCCATATAATCAAATTACACCCCAGTCACCTGATATCAATTTAGCAAACGCATAAGGTTCAGTGATGCATTTAATGGACTAAACACACCATCAGCCATAACATCAAAAAACAGGCACTCATTTTTTCTAAGTGATCAAGTGTTATACGTCCACATCATGAAAATGGGCAAAATTCAGATATTCTACAAGTATCAATTGAAAACCATATAATGACAGATACAGTCACAACATCATGTGAAGATGGGAAACATGAAACTACAACTTACCATATTACCTTCAAGATATAAACCAGGGCATGCCAAAAGAAAATTAGATTAGGTTGAAATCAACTACTACTTTTCAAAGCTGAAATAAATAATCAGTAGTGATGTGAAATGTTGCTTTGAATGTTTCAGAAGATACTGATTCTTTCCCTCCATAAGTCTAAACTAAATAAAAAAGACTAAATCAAGCCCCTATCCATAATTATCTCATAAGACCATAAAGACAACTTTAAATGGTTTAGATCCAGGAGATAGTACAAAGTACTATCTTAAACATGTTAAAATTCTTGATGTCAACTTTAAATGGTTTAGATCCAGGAGATAGTACAAAGTACTATCTTAAACATGTTAAAATTCTTGATGTCATGGGTTCCTGTCCCTATGTACCACAAAAATACAAAGTACTATCTTAAACATGTTAAAATTCTTGATGTCATGGGTTCCTGTCCCTATGTACCACAAAAAGGTTCCTAATTTCCCATGTAAATTTATCATTATATCTCCAAGGACTTGTGAGGGTAAAGTGAAAAAAGTCTTGGAAATGTGGAAGCATTAATCCACAAGGATTTTAGAAATTACACAGAAAATAAGCATCAAGAATAGGTAAATGTGGAAGCATTAATCCACAAGGATTTTAGAAATTACACAGAAAATAAGCATCAAGAATAGGTAAAGTCTTGGGAGGTAAAAGAAACGCTGTTTCCTTTTTTGAAAGGTAACTTGAGAGCCGTCAACTTATTCCGGTCATTAATTCTCTTCTTTAATCAAATAATTGTCAAGTTAAGAAACCTACTATAAGATTATTGAAAGGGGAGAAAACAGAGAAGGCTGAAAATATAAACCTAAGTATTCTTTGTCCATAGGAGACGCTCAGTTCCCCATTGAAAAAACTCACCAACACATGCTTAATTCCATGCATCCACATTATGATAGGATCATGTCAAAAAAATAAACACACTAAATATTCACAAATAAGGAGGATCGAAGTTTCAGCCCTCTGAGCAAAGTAAATAAGGAGGATCGAAGTTTCAGCCCTCTGAGCAAAGAAAATGGCAACAGAATATAAGAACTAAAATACAAAGATTTAGCGTGAAATATTAATACACTCTCATAATGAATCAATAATACGCTAATGTTGATCCAACAGATGCCAATATAGGATATAAGCCTATGAACAAATCCAGAAATAGGTCTGAGAATAGGTATGCGACATTCTATTGTTGTTATTGTTGTGATGACACGAAGCATAAAGATGACAAGGAAACATAATAGATATACAACTTGTTAGAGTCATCAATTACGAATATGCACTATAAGTATGAGTAAGAACAGTAAGTACACTTACACTTCGCGGATTGAATTAAAATAAATTGATCTTTCATTCAAGACAAGTGATAAGAAGGACATCAGTGCATAAACCTGAAAAAGGAAAAAAAAACACCTATGAGGAATAGAAAAATTCAAATATTCATAAAAAAAATCACATGTATTGTTAGTAACTGTAAGCCTGATTCTTTTAGTTCAGCTCTGTGAATTTTTCTCCCTAATTTCCTTCCATAAATGTAAAGAAATTGGGAAAAGTTGCCTGCCATATGATTTTAATAGGGTCAACCTCAAAGTTCTAGCTTTTTGTTTGATCCTGTTGGACCATGTGTATATGCATGTATACACACAAATACAGCGTATGATGGATAGAAGCTAGTGGCTCATTTTGCTAAATCATCTACCATGAGAAAAAGGGGGGTGAGACCCACTCGTTCGACATGACTACTAGAATGGGCCTCACCCCATGTCCATCACTTGGTAGCTCATTAAATGAGCTGTCACCCCGTGCTCATTATTTACAAATATGGGCCTACTGGATATGTGCTGCAACCTCATTAAGCAAATTGAGCCTTTAAGAGGAAGAAATGGTGAGATACACATCATCTATGTGTATAGGAGGAGATGATATCACATTAAGCAACAAAATAAGCTATCCAGAGGTGGGCTAGTTGTGAGCCCCCCTCGTGCTCGTCAATCGGAGAAGGTGGACCTCGCCGCTCTATTTATTGGAACTATACTTTGCTACATGAACTACCAACCCATACACAATATCCCTCTATTATACACGAACATCTACACTTAGTCCCATGCGAATAACTATATGGTTTAATTACCAAAAAAAAAACCCTAAAGTTCGTAAGAATATCATAAAAATATCATAGACCGCCCCTGCAGAGTTGACAATTTCACTCCGTCTGGCTAGATTGCTCATTGACCCCATCAATGACAAAAATATCCCTGCATAGAGAAGAAATTAGTAGGTTTCTTTATTTTTTGTCCTCGTTGAAGGGAAGAAACAGCCTCTTCAATGAGATTCTCCTAGATACTATAACCCTCAAGCCCAACACGCAGGCAAAAGTTGAATCTAACATCCAATATTTTCCCCATGTGCTCAAAGTTGAAGTCCTCTACTACCTTATTATGAAAAGTAAACTTCTCTCAAAAGTTGACTTGATTTTTAGCTTCTTTTCTCCTCTCAAAATGAGTCTTTAAAAATTTTTCCCCTTCCTTTTCTTTGTATCTCTGTTGCTCAAAAATCCATTCCCTCAAAAACCCAACAGAGATGGTTTGGGAGCTGTAGAGCTTGATGATAAGGATGAGGAATGAATCAAAGATCACGAGCATGCTGGGGCTCCAAAGGAGTGGTTTTGTCTTGAAAAGACTACATGTTAACTAACCATAAATCAAAAAATTGAAACAGAATGGGTAAAAGTGTTAACATCAAAATTTCAACCGGATTTATGTTACATAATTACTCCTAGAAACCTCAGGGGAATTTTTCTAATTTACCCTAATGATAGATATGAGAAAATTAGAACTAATAAATGTAAGTCTTTGTGTAGGTCTAAAACTCAACTATGTCAAACAATATCATACATATGCATTCTAAAAATACTCCTAAAGACAACAGATTAGAGTCATCCCCTGCTTTTCTTTTTCCATACAAGGGTATTTTAGTCATAGACTATGCATACACTCATATTCAATGGAGGTGGATTATACCTTGCAGATATGCCAAATAATCAATATACAATAAATTGGTAATCTTGATTCTTTTGAAATCTGTCCTAAACTCTGAATCGAATCTATTCAAATTCTAATCAAATTTTTTTCATATCAATCATCACCAAATACTGAATAATTATACTCGTTTCTTTAGAAACAACATATATCTCTACTAGTACATCGAAAAAATTGTGAATATCTCATACAAGTACTTCAATAAATATATGACATAGATTATGAATCACAGTATCAAGATAAATTCATCAAACATAGAAGCTTGATTGCATTAGAATTTAGATGAAAGAAAACTACCAAAGTTAACCTCAAGCATATTAGGATCACAAAAAAACTAATTGGGTAAATAACTTCACAAATATCAACTTTCACGTGCATTTATAATTTGACAATTCTTCTAAACTTCCCAAATCCAATAAAATTTTGATTTTCTTTAGTTTTGAAAGCTAAGTAACTATAAATCATAAATTCTATCCAAATCTAGTTTTATTGTATAATCCTAGAGATGACTACATATTGACTCCCATGATTCGCTAAGGTTTACACATAGAAAATAATGACATTTTTCTCGATGATGTTTGTTTATTTATTTGTTACTTATACAATTGGATTAACTTGTTACTATTACATATTATGCATTAGTTTAAAAAGTTGGAAGGGACATATTGCAATCTTCAAGTTATGTTTTTGTCTCCTCAACGCGGTAAAGAAGTTAATCTCCATATTTTGCATGTACTTGATACATATCCACTTTTTGCTAAGATTTGAACAATATAAGTATTCATTTTTCTAATATCTATTATGTATCCCTTTATGATTATTGCACATACTTATGGACTTTTTTACGCAACCAGAATCGTATTACTATCCGTATTTATGACTCCTGGACGAATATGGATATGGTAAATGTCTTATCTTATGCAGAGAAGGGGAAAGAGGAGGATATTACGAACAAAACTTCTGGTTGTTGCATTGTGGTGTATTCAATTGAGTCCAAACGACTGTCCAACAATGACAAGAGTAATGTGTGGATTATTGTTCGCGGACAAACTCCAAACCAATTTTCAACTAAAAGACTCGATAATATAAACATTTGACCCAGGACCCAAGGTTTTCTCTCGTGTGCACGCATGAAAAAAAAAACTTGTGACGAATCTTCAATGGAGTAAGAATTTAACATGCTCTAAGTCTCTGTTGGCTTTATAGGCAGCAAAAACCAAGGTCCAACAGAACTGTAACTATGTGTAAGTTAGCAAATGACACCACTTGCTTGAACCTTCATCGAGACGCCTAAAGTAATCGCCGGGTAGAACATTAAGGTAGAATGGAATCTTTATCATGCCAGCCCGAAATGGATACTTTAACTTTAACTTGTAGTGGCCACTATAGACACATACCAATTTTGTGAATCCATGACACAAGGTTGTTTCAAATTTTAAGCACGGTATGACTTCCTACTTCCGACTGAACCCTTTCTCGATCTACGACTAATAACCAACCCCTACCTAGTGTTTTTAACAAAATTTGCTCCTCCACTACTAATCATTCACATCAAATATACGCGCATAATATCTCAAGACAATCATAATTGCGAAGAAGAATCGCACCGGGACCATGAAGATGATGCGAACAATGTAGCGCTGAAAGATGGGCTCCGTGTAATTGAGGAGGTGGCGATAGATGTGCGACATCGCCAGGGCTATTGCCGCCACCGTACAAGGGAACGCGACGATCACGTAGTAAAGAGGCGCCATCGATCTCCTTCAAGATCGATCGACCGATGGGTCTCGATGACGGTCGACGCCCAGAGATCAGTCGAGCTTCCCCGNGGTTCGGGCGATCCGATCCGATCCGATTCCTTCAGGACGAATCAACCTATCGTCCCACAACCGCGCGGCGCGCCGCCCTAGGGTTTGCTCAGTTAGGGCAAAAGCACGAATGACAATGGAGGAGAGCCCTAGCCCTAGCCCTAACCCTAACCCTAACGCTAAGAAAGTGGAAGGAGGCGAAGACGAGGGAGGAGGAGGAGGAAGACGAAGGCTAGGGCTTGGGGGCGGCGGCTTCCACCAATTTAGTCCTCCGAGTAATTTTTTTTAAGGACGACAAAAAAAATAAAAAAAAAGCACCAACAAAATACAGCGAAGCGAAGGTGGGCGTATGATGGGATGGGAGTTAACGCTGAGACAAATACAGCCGTACGTATAAAAATAGAATACTGGTGGTTGGGTTATTCCGTATTAGTCCCTCAAATCTTCAATGCTCTGTGAGAGCCCCTCGTATCATTATTGTAATTGTTGCTAGGTCCCCAAAGTCATCTAGTCCCCCAAGTTAGTATTAGGGGGTGTTTGGTTCAATTTCTAGAAATTATAGGAAATGTTTTCCACCTAAAATATGATTTTCTTGTATTTCTTAAAAAAATTATAGGAAAAGTTTTGAGAAATCAAAAAGTACCAATTTTCTTGTTTTTTGTACTTTGTTTGTTTGGTTCAAAACAAGAAAATAGCTCATAACTTTATAGAAAATAACAAGATTTGGTAGGTTTTTAATTAAATATGGTATGTGTCTGATTTCTAGTGATTTCCTCTCATTTTGAGAGGAAATTACTTCTTGTAAAATTTGGTAGGTTTTGATATTTTATAGAAAATATTTCTGTAAATTTTTTGTTTAACCAAACACAATTTACAGAAATCTCTGGAAAACTTTTAATTATAAATTTGCCATTGTCAGATGTTTTGAGAAAATTTTTCTCAAAAATTGTGCAACCAAACAGCCCCTTAGGTAGGATGATGACAGAATATTTTGTTAACTTTAGAATTTGTGGTGGGGCAATTATACCCCTTGTGTTATAGGCACAAACGTGCTAGCCGTATAATCTCGGACTCGTTTACACCCCATACTCAAAGTCCATTCACTATCTCATCTTCTCGAATGGTTCTCTAATCCCTAGGGTCATGTTTGTCAAAATGGTTAAGGAAGAAGGATTAAGAGAAAATATTAACATAGTTAGTCTATTCGATAACATGGAGGACTAAATTATTAACTCGTTATATAAGTTTTTTAGCCATTATCATCATTTTTAGTATTTAGGAATGATGAGAATTTAGACTGTTTTCTTTACAAATAAAGGGGTTAACACTTAATCTTTCAACATTGGAGCATTAATTAACCCCGCATCCCTTTAGAGAGGTTTGCTTAACCCTTCTGCATATTTTTACGTTTGGTAAATTATGAAGAGTTATCTTACTTTTAATCACCACATAGATTTTTTATGCTTAGCTAGTTAAGAAGAGGTTAAGTCTCCTTAACCCCTCAATTAACCAGTTACCAAACGACACCTAGATGTATTTGGGTGGGGATAGCAGCGAGGAAAGGGAAATTGGCACTTGACTCTCTTTAAGAGTATTTATGGGAGTAAAGGAGGTAGGGTAATGAAGCTCCCATAAATAATACTAGTGTGCATATCGTACAAAGCACGACCTCCATTTTTTTATTTCTACTACAGTAATTCTGTATTCGAATGCAAGTTTTTATAAAAAGCGCTACAGTAACGTTTTTTAAAATGCTACACTACACTCTCCGTTCTAAAGCAATAATGCTACAATAATATTTTTAAACACTTCAGTTTCCGCTTGTGCTACAGTGCTTATGGAGTATAAGTAGTGGAACTGGGCTCCTCCTGCCCGTACTACAGTAATAATGCTATAGTGATTCGTGGTACCATGTAGCATGAATAGTGAATACTGGATCCATTATTATAGAGAAAATAGAGGAATATATCGTCATTTTGTTCCTCCTAAATTGGACCGTAAAGAAGGGAAGGGGAACTTAGGGCCTGTTTGTTTCACCAATTTTATGGAATATGAATGGTATTTGGACCTGACAATGACATTTTCGTAATTAATGGATTCCAAATGAATCCTAATATTGAGTTTGGTTCAAATTTTTTTTATAGAATTGCTAATCTATAAAGTGGCTCAAACAGTGTATATTTCAGGAAATCCAAATCCAGTCCATTTGCTAGGAATTGGGAGGAATTTCTGACATCTCTCCTCTTTTTTATTCTGATTCCTAATCCTTTGGGTGAAACAAACATAGAATACAAAAAAAATTGGATTCCATAAAACTAAAACTTGTCTATAAATTTTTTATGGATTAGATTAGAATCCATAAATAAAATAGGATTCATAATCCTATTCCTATTATCTGTTGAACCAAACATGCCCTTGATGTCGATATCGGAGTAGCCCTTTTTAAGTTACAAGTGGGCCGGGTATCAGGTAACCCGAAATCACACTGTATCATCCCTTTCCGGATAAACAAACCGGCCGCCCTTTTCGCTCTCTCCTCCTCCACCATCAGCGGAGGAGCTTCTTCTCCTGCACAGAGACCAAAACCCCCCAAAAAACCCTAAAAATGCTCTCTCACCCCTCTGCGCCTTTCGCTCTCCCCAAACCCTCGATCTCTCTGCCCTCGCTCCCTTCGCCCGGTCTCAGTCACCGAAGATTTTGGGCTCGGAGCTCGGAATCGAAGCCGACTGCGCTCTCTAACGGCGATTCGGTAGCTTCGACGGCTGCGGTTGAGGGAGGAGAGGAGGAGGATGGCGAGGCGGCTAGACTCTTTGAGGTACTCCTCCTATGCTCCTCACTCCTGCTGCTGCTATTGATATTCGTTCTATGTTAGGGTTTAACGAAACGCGCTTGTTCGCTTAGTTTAGGGTGCTTATGATGTAAATTTTAGCTAGTTGGAAATTGAGGGCACGACCTTTGTTGACATGATTCCATGACCGTGGTATGGAAAATGAACATTTTTTTTTTTACTTGGGGTGATGTGCGTTTTCAGAAACTGAAAGATGCGGAGCGGGAGCGAATAGATAAATTGGAGAAGTTCGAGAATAAAGCGAACCTACAATTAGAGAGACAGCTTGTCATGGCTTCCTGTTGGAGCAGGACATTGCTGACTTTGCAAGGCAAACTGAAGGGGACAGAATGGGATCCCGAGAATTCTCATAGGATCGATTATAGTGACTTTTGGAGGCTTCTCAACTCAAACAATGTTCAGTATATGGAGTATTCAAATTTTGGGCAATCCGTTTCTGGTATGCCAACTGTCATCATGATTCTGGATTTATCTATCTTCGTAATAGTTTCTATTTAATTTTGATGATTGTTTGTGGTTTATACGTGCTGGTAGAGAAATCAATGCCTGGAATCGATTTTAGCAGTTTTGTGGATTCAGTATTCTTTTCTGCTTAAAAGATATAGCACAATATGTCTAATTGAAATAGAGAATTTTTGGGATTCACAATTTTTATGCTGCATATATTTTTAGACCATAAAACAGCACAATCGTTTGTTCTGATACCATATTGCACTTCAATAATTTAAATTAGAAAAAAAAACTGATGAGAAAATTTTAATTAGGAAAATCTTGTTTTTGTTCTTCTATCACTCCACTGCCTTTTATCAAGGCCTTTGTAATTATAAATCAGGTATTTCTGGGAGTCAAACCAATCTCCAAATTGCACTGGATCTAAAAGTGCATAATTAAATAAAAATAACTAATTTTCAGCAATTACAGACAGTAAATTTAATGGATCACAGAACTCATGTGTTCAATCTTTATAAGCTGGAAATGGCTTGAATCAGTTAAATTTAATTGGCGCTGAATAAGAGCCCTTATCAAATAATCAGATAAGTTTAATGGCATCACATGATTATATGACAGTATTTTTCAAAGAACATTGACCCAGAAAACATGGTCTACCTGGCATCTACGTGGTGAATTCATGGCAGCTTGAATATAAGATTACATGAAAGCTTTGTCTTTCTTTGGTTTCATGTTATCCAGTGTAGTTACATAAAGTGCTTCACATTATTTAAGAGTAACAAGATGAACTCCTTATGTCTTATCATTCACCAGACTTATAGAACTTTGAAACTGTCGAACACCAGGAATTTGGTTATCGGAAGGCCCGAAGGTGTAATTTCAACTTAAGATCAGGGGTGAAGGACGGTGATTTTGTTTGTTAATGAATTATTATAGATGTCAATTGAAATAGATCTTTTATATAATCTATATCGAAACCAAAATATTTTGTCTAGATAAATAAGAAGGGAAGTAGCTCTCTCGTTCTGAAACTATTTATTGAAGAGTTCTCTTGAGAGAAATAACCTAGTGCAATTTTTTTTTAAAGCTACACATGCCGTTGCAAAGCAACAATTACTTGGTGACTGAACTCACATAGGATACGACTCCTGATGGCATTTCTTCCCTATGCATTTTGATTCTACTGTCCTTTTCAACAAAATGCCCAAGGTATCTATCACCTTTGGAATCCCTTAAACTATATTCCCCCATACTGCTATCATAAACAGTTACGCACAGATATTTTGTTTGTATGTTTCAATGTGGGTGTTTTGTTGGTCTGATATTAGGCTGCTTATTTTATAACAGGCAACAACCAAACAAAAATGCTTTTGTATCTTCTTTTTGTATCTAAGGATTAGTGTCTTGTGCCCAGTCATTAAATGGTTTGTAGATGATTAATAAGCAAATATGCAAATCGCATATTCTATTTTTTGCATTGCTGATTACAAGTTTCTGAAACTTTATTTATATTAATTCTGCAGTAATTTTACCTTATTACAAGGATGAGAAAATGGGAGAAGCAAATGGGAGCTCTAATAAAGAAATTGTATATCGGCGCCATATTGTTGATCGAATGCCTATTGATGGTTGGAATGATGTTTGGCAGAAGTTGCACCAACAACTTGTAAATGTTGATGTAATTAATGTGGATTCTGTACCTGCCGAAGTCTACTCTACTATTGCAACTGCTGTTGTATGGTCTATGCGGTTTGCACTTGCAGTTGGTTTATACCTATGGATTGATAAAATGGCAAGACCAATATACTCGAAGTTAATTCCGTGTGATTTAGGCACTCCTCCAAAAAAAACAAGGGAGCCCTTGAAGCGTAGGGCCCTTGGATCTTTGGGGAAAAGCCGGTAGGTTTCCATATTGTCTTTAAAATTGGTGACCAGATTATTGGTTGACTCCTGAAGAATTACTTCACAACTTGAATTGTCTTGTGATATGCACGCATATTAATTATCAAATTTAATATGGCAATGATTATTTTTAACTTAAAAATTTGTGGCAGAAGAAGATTGTGCCAACATACTGAAGTTACTTGAATATTAGATCATCTGATTTTCCTATATAAATCCCCAACGTGAGGCTTATCCCTGCAAATTGATATTTGGGCATTAGCGTCATGTGAGGTTTATCTGTCACGAGTCCTTCAATGGTATTTTCCAGCTACAAGGTTTGTATAACTATGCAGGTGCTTAACTAAGGGTATGAAATATCTACTTCATACTCTTTAAGTGTTAACCTCATTTACTATCTTCAGCATGGCTAGCAAACACTTCCCCTTTTCCTTCTATATTTTGTATCCATCTTGAATCCATACAATGTGTCAACAAACAACTCAGTGCAGTGATTTGACTCGACTTGAACCCTTCACTTGACCTTAGCAAATATTATCACACCTCTTCCATGGATCTGGTCCTAGTTTTTAACAACCAGGCATTGTAGGATCATGACCCATTAACCTCACCAATTTGATACTTTGCAGTACTCAATTCAACCACGTATGTGATATTTGCAGTTTAAATTTGTTGTTATAGTTCAGGTCTGGTTGATTTTCGCTTCTCTCCCTGTACAATGTGCTGACCAAAGAATGAATAACTTTGGCAAGAAATTAGTATATCCCAAATCATATATTGTTAGTTATTTGTTCTTCTACAGGATTTTACTCTTCGTATGACTTAATTCATATCTTTTAATGGCTTAATGCCAAGCTTTTAGTAGTTTAAAATCATGTGTCCACAGTGGTTTAAAGTCTAGCGGCCATTTGAAGTGCTCAGCCTAGATAATCTTCTATGAGTCGTAATAAAAAATGTATTCTTTTTCATTAGGATGGAGGTAGGATTCTGTGTTACAGTCTAAATCCATGGGCAAAGGGAGATTTAGGCCTTACTTTTGTTCTCTCCAGGGCCAAATTCATATCAGCCGAAGAAACTACAGGTGTTACGTTTGATGATTTTGCTGGGCAGGAGTACATAAAGAGAGAACTGCAAGAGATTGTTCGCATATTAAAAAACGATGTAGAGTTTCAAGATAAGGGCATATACTGCCCCAAAGGTGTGCTTCTTTATGGTCCACCTGGCACTGGAAAAACTCTTCTGGCTAAAGCCATTGCTGGAGAAGCAGGTCTTCCTTTCTTTGCTGCAAACGGGACTGATTTTGTTGAGGTATTTTCTGAAAAAGATTTTGTATGTTAATTTGCTGCCTGTCCTGTAAATAAATGTAACTGAAAGAGTGAAATCTGAAAGGTTGTACAACATCTACTTGTTCTAACAGTAGCTGATAGGGAGGTACTGTTGCTTGAATAACATCAGAATCTGTGTAGGGCAAATCATATTATGTTACTATAACAATTATCCAGAAAGAATGGAAAAAGCATGTGTACTTACTTTAAGTGGTAGTTGGGTCTTGGTTCTATACCACTATAAGGTTCTTAGACAGTCATACATGCATGTGTTTCCTAAACAAATTTGCAGTACCAGGGATGCTCAGGAGAGGGGGGATTACTATGTTGATACTCTCGATCATGAATTCTCTAGCTCTTTGAGGGCTGTCACACCATTAGCAAGTTAATAGATTGATCAACAACATTTGTGAAACTTAAAGAGAACACCCTTTCATTGTTTGAGTTATCATCTCTTTGGTATATTTAGCTGTCAACACTATAGGACAAAGAATACGTCGTAAACTATGCTTCCACGAACTAGGCTTTCTTATATTACCTATGTATTGCATGTGATACATCAAATAGAAATTGCATATGAATGTGCAATAGTGGTCACCATTTCTCAATTTGGCAATTGAGAAGGCTTTTCTTTATGTTTCTATCCTGATTTTCTAGAAAATTCCAGTTTCTGACCTGATTTTATTTTGCAGATGTTTGTGGGTGTTGCAGCATCTCGTGTTAAGGATCTTTTTGCTAGTGCCAGATCATTTGCACCATCTATAATTTTTATCGATGAGATTGATGCAATTGGTAGTAAACGTGGCGGGCCTGATATTGGTGGGGTGAGATGATATCTGGTCTCTTAGTTCTTATGCTTTGATTCTCTGTAGTGAGTCTTTTTTGGCCACTCAGTTAGTCTTATATCTCTATTTTTTCTATTTTCTTTCCTCTTATTTTCTTTCATCACCTCTTCCTTTTTTCTTTTTCTTTTTCTTCTTTTTTTCCTCTCGCATTGTAGCAGTCTTTACTGTATTTTCCTTCAAGTAAATACCAATATACCATCAAGATCTGGAAAACTTTTATAGGTTAGTGCTATCATTAAATCATCACTATCATGATGGGTTCTTTGACTACTGAGTTATATTGTCATTTTGCAGTTCATTCTTTACCAAGTGCAACTAGAATAAATTGCTAATTTGAAAACAAGCTCACTTGATAAATAAACATTTAACACGTTTAAATTAGGAATACTTGGTTCTCACTTGTTGTTTAGAAATACCAAATGATTCAACAACATGCTAAGACTGCCTGTGTTCATTTGAACATCAGATCATTTTTATAATAATTGAACGGTTACTTGTGCATCTAATTCACTCACAGGAGTCATATTTTGTGTTCATCGAAATATGGCAAGATCCAGTTGTATTCTCATAGAAAAAAGGGAATCCTATTTTCAAATTGTTCTTAGCTGTTCCCATTTTCATTTGCTTATGTATATGTCTATTTCACATAAATAGGGTGGAGCTGAAAGGGAGCAAGGGTTGCTTCAGATCTTGACCGAGATGGATGGATTTAAAGAATTAACATCACAAGTAGATTTTCCTCCTCTCTTTTATGTTTATCGTACTTTTAGTCAGTACGAACTTGGACTAATATAATTTTATTAGGTGCTAGTTATTGGTGCAACCAATCGTTTGGATATCCTGGATCCAGCTCTTTTGCGAAAGGGTCGGTTTGATAAAATAATTAGGGTCGGCTTGCCATCTAAAGATGGGAGACTGGCAATATTAAAGGCACATACCTCTTTGTACCTAATTCTTTAGTCTTCTTTGAGAAATGTGGCATTTGGTTTGTAATATACATTATGTATCTTGTGGAAATAACAGGTGCATGCTAGGAATAAATATTTCAGATCTGAAAGCGAAAAGGAAACCCTTCTTGAAGAAATTGCAGAAAATACAATAGATTTTACTGGAGCTGAGCTGCAAAATATATTGTAGTTACTTGCCAAGCCTTTTTTAATAAATTTAAATACATGGAAATAATTGACAGTTGTACTATTGATTAATCAGGAATGAGGCTGGAATTTTGACTGCCAGAAAGGATCAGGACTTCATTGGACGGGAGGAACTACTGGAAGCTTTGAAGAGGGTAGGTTCACTTGTGTCGCTGACTCGCTGTATCTAACTTCTGCATATAAACACTATTAAGGACATTTCCTTTTGGGTTCATATGATGACAAATATGTCTCATGTTATATTATTTTCTGAACACCTATATGCAGCAAAAAGGTACCTTCACAACTGGCCAAGAAGACAGTACCGAAATTCCTGAAGAATTGAAGCTTAGGTTGGCTTATAGAGAGGCAGCTGTGGCAGTTCTTGCCTGCTATTATCCAGATCCTCATCGCCCATTTTTAGAGGTCATTGAAAGAAGTCAATATTCCCCACCTTATAAATGGTCTCTCCTCGTCTCTCTGTCCAATCACTGTTTTCATACATATCTATTTGGTTGCAGACTGACATCAACACAATTCGTAGCAAGCCAAATATGCGTTATGCTGAAACTTCTGGGAGAGCCTTTTCCAGGAAACCTGATTATGTGAACTCCATTGTGCGAGCATGTGCACGTAAGTTTTTATTACTCATTGTGTTTTTCCACTGTTCAAGAGTATAGGATTAATTCTTTACGATCCTATATCGGTCTTTATGATGTCTTTTTGCTGCATATTGCAAATACATCTTGGATTTATTCTTCTTACATTGTAATAATATTGAAGTTAGCGGTAATCAATTCTACACCTACTATCTATTCATGTTAACGTTTTGCAAAAATAATGATTCTTTTTGGACCCAAATAGTGGGACCGCTCAATGGGACAGATGATGTGGAATCAAATTCATACTATTTCAATTTACAAGCTGGATAATAAACAATTGTGGAATAAAAATGGCAAGATACAACTGCATCCCAGATTCACAATAGCTCAAGCCTATGAACAAGTATTTCTCTCCTCCCGCGCGAAAATCTCATCATCTCTAAACAAACCCATTTTCCAGTATTCTTTGGTACAATATTCGGTGCAAATTCATGGTAGAGAGGTCACCATTATCTTAAGTCTTTTCTGAGCTTTTTTGTTTAGTTTGAGAATAATTCTAATTGTGAAGAAACAAATTGATGAATTATTCAATGGATTTGTTCATTTACGTTCAGGGCGTGTTTGGTTGCTTTCGATCATTTTTCAAAAATAACTTTCCTTCACTTTTTAGTGTTTCCTTCACTTTCATAGAAAATTTTTCTTGTGTTTGTTTCGCCAAAAAACATAGGGTAAAAGTAATTCCACCACTTTTCTTAGTTTGGTCCAACATGAAAAAAAAGTAATATATGTGAATAGATTCACTTAGAGTTACAATTTAAATCTCTTTTGCAGTTGAGTAAGATTGCAAGTGAAATTTCAAACTTACATAAGCTGTCGTGGTAGATGCAATACTTTTGCAATTATAAGAAACTTAGCACATTCTAAATCAATCTATTGATAATTAGGACCCCTAAAATAATCAAAGTAAAGTCAAGCAAAAAAAGAAAAGTCACGTTGGCGTTTCATCAAACACCTATTACGCTCATCTATATGCACCTCATCCAAACCACACCACTTCCCATTGACATCCCACTCCTCAAAATTCCCTCTTCACCATATTCAGCCCCTCCTGATCCCCTAACCTCCTCAACCGCCTACTCAAAATCCCAAACAAATCTTCCTACCCCGACCATCTCCACCATCACATTCACCAACCTCGCAGGCTTCCTTATCCCTCTCTCCCCCTCAACACCCCAAAAACCCCAGTCAAGATCTTCCCAATCTCATCATTGACATCTCTATTGTTGGTGGTTCTTGACAAAGAGTTGACAATGTTGGCATCGAAGGAGAGGTTGTGGGAGGACAGGAAGGAGGAGAGCTAGGTACCCAAAGAAGCAGCGGCCATTGGAAAGAGGGGGAGGAGGGCGATGTGCTCCAAGACGCAGCGGGGATTTTTTTATTGCGTGTCAATAAATTTTCTGCCAAAATCGGAGGTTTTGGAGAGGAAACGTGGTTTCCGCTTTGGGTGACGTGGCACACATTTTCCTTCAACCTTTCCCTTTTCTTTTTGGTGAACCAAACATCCGAAAATGAAGAGCCTGACAGTTTTTTTTCAGTTTTCCTATGGATGATTTTTTGCGGTTTCCTTCACTTTTTTGCCCAACCAAACATGCCCTCAGATCTCATTTGGAAATCAGCCTCATGTGTCTTTGAATTTTTTGAATTTTATTCATTTGCTCTCTCATTAAGCTGTATCTAAGTTTCAGTCACAAGAAAAAAAGGTGGAATCTTTTTAAAATTTTCACAGATCTTGCTCTGAAAGAACGTACAAGCTTACAAAATAAAGAATATAAAAACACAAAAGAATAGAAGAAACTAATGTTAGTTTGTCAGTCTCTGTCTCAAAGTAAAAGTCTGAACAGAGAAGGTGGTGGTTTGAATAAATGACAGAGACACCATGACCACGGTGGTCGAGATGGGAAGCGATGACGCTGGTGTCGAAGACTCCGGTGACGACGATGACAAGCAGCGAGAGACAACAAGGGGACAGGTGGCGAAAGAACGGGTATTTTGCTGATTTGGGGAAAAATTGCAATTGGCTTGCTGCGTTTAGGGATGGGAGAGAAGAAAATCTCATTTACGAAAAATCGCTTCTTTCTTTATTGGTATTTTTCGGGCTCAATTAATAGCTGGACCAGCCACATCACCTGTCCGCTTGATCTGTCCCCTATTGGGTCTTGCTAGCATCACTCTTGCAAAAAATAATTAATATATTTCTGTATCTTAGGTTCTTAGCTATCTGAGCAAAATAACAATTATCATTCCCATCCACATATCATTTCCATTTTCCGCATTAAACCTAGTCAAGCAAATGATGATACGTGCTGTAGTCCATTCTTTATTGGCAATTGATGCCTTATCTAGACTACCTCTGTGCTTTATGACGTTTTGCTGATGCTTATAGTTTGGCTAGAGATTATACCAAACATAAACATCTTGTTTTGATATGTCTGGCTTTCTAGACATGAATGATAATTTAATTCTCCTTGTTAGGAATGCACCTACTTATGTTTGAAGTTGTACTAAGCCCCGATAGAGCTATTACAGCCTTAATATTGTTGTAGATGTGGGTAACATATGCTAGGGTATAGGAATTTCAGGGTAACTATACCTTCTTATAAGAAATAAAGAAAAAAATCGCAAATAAGAAATATACATGGTTTGGCAATTTGCCGATGTCCATGAGGGAGAAGTTTTATGCTTACAGAATATGAGTACAGAATAATGTCTTCTCTTGGAGATTTCTCCTAGAAATATTTGCTCAATTGCTTCGATACAGACTCTCTAGAGGGCATTTATAGGTCTTTCCTCTTAGTTTGAGTTGGATGTATTTGATTCTCTTTGACCTGAAGTTATATTCAGGTAATGAATAGGAGCTGAGACTGAGAGTCCATGTTATGTTATGTGAACTATTCTTCAAACTCCTGAGAATCTTAGACAATTTATCTCAAAGGTTCTGATGTACGTAACATGATAACATCAGGTAGTTACTTCTATTGCTGTTGAGTGACAGAGATCATTGGAAGAAAACCAGCTGGAATATATGGTTCCCACTGATGGATGACTCATTTGTAACAGTGTCCTACTGTACAAAGTATTTGGAAGTTTTATCACATTTCATCGTCTTTGCTATGTATTTCTCACATGAAGTTATGCATGCATCACTCTTTTTCCTTTAACTCCCACCATAATAATTGCTTCTTCTTTTGTCATATAAATTGCCGAGTTGTCATTGTTGGGAGTCTGAATCCATTTAGTTTTTCAAGCAATTATATGTTACAAGAAATTGCCTGTAAGAAACAATACTTTATTTTTCTCATGGGTTTGTTACTAAACATGAGCCATAATTTAATTTCCCCCTGTTTGTTGTTTGATTTCTTTTGAAAGTTTGCTTCTGTTGCTGTTCAGAGATACACGTGGTGTACTTATAAATGTTTGTGTAAACAGCCAGAGTGATCGAGGAGGAAATGTTTGGGGTTGATAACTTGTGTTGGATTTCTGCGAAGTCCACATCTGAAGCTTCAACACGTGCAGAATTCTTGATTCTTCAAACAGGGATGACAGCATTTGGGAAGGCATACTACAAAAATCTGAGTGATCTGGTGCCAAATGTGGGTTTACAATGTTATATGCATCATGCTCCCTTTATATTTACCTTGTTTCTGTAATACTCTTCATTATGTTAAATATATGCCTTAAAAACTCTTTGACCTTTCAGCTTGCAGCAAAACTGGAAGCTCTCAGGGATGAGTACATGCGTTTTGCTGTGGAGAAATGCTCCTCTGTGCTAAGGGAATATCATTCAGCCGTTGAAACAATCACAGGTGCGTCAGACATCAAATAATTGTTGCCCCCCTGAGCAACCCCCTTCCTGCATGCGGAAAAACAAAAGAAAAAAAAAGAAAAGGGAAAAGAAGGAAAAAAAGAATAAGTGAATAAACAAAGAGATAAAAATGGAGCTGTTCTTCTGTAGCATGAAATTTGATACAAACCAGTTTAAAGTATCATAGAACTCTATAACTTTCTGGTGAAATGAAAACTTGACAACTAATGGTCCTTAATATCTTGAAAGAAAACTAATATTCCTTAAATGATGGTTTAGATATTTTGCTTGAGGAGGGAGAGATCAAAGCAGAGGATATTTGGGATATATACAATAAAGCTCCTCGGATTCCTCAGGTACGTAATTTATTTCCCTAAAAGTTACTGTATATGCAAGTGCCTTCACCCAGTAAAATTTCATCTTTCAGAGTAAAGCTAGCTATTTGGCTTCTACATTTTCAACAAATCTACTCTTGGCTTCAACATTTTCAACAAATCTAGTTTTGCTGTTCCATGCAAGCATACCTTGTAGTTTAAGGTTATAATAACATACGATTTTCATCTTTTACATGCTGAACTGTTTAGATAGTGTTGTGGAGCTAACTCAGTCATTTTCATTACTAGTTTTTATGCACGTGCATTGCACGTGATTAAATATTATAATTATTTATTTTTAGTTTATTTCCTTACTAAAATTTGTTCTTCAATTTCAATTTGATAGTTTTTACTCACTTATATCTCTAAAATTTAATATTGAGATTACTTATTTTCTTTAATGTTTGTTTGAATAGGCTACACCCAATTTAAGTTTCATGTTGATAATTGAATTGACATAAAATCAACGTGAAGCCAATTTAAATATTCATGTTATTTGGATTGACATGAAATGAAGCTTTACTCAAGTAAGTATAGTGTTGCAAAAGTAAAAAATACTTAAAAAAAATAACATTATAATACCAAGAGGAATAATTAAAGCTAATAAGCTTAGACAATTGATTAGAAGTGTCTAAAATGACACAAAAGAGAATATTGATTTTATTCCTAATCATTGATAGATTTCATTAAAAACCATTAACTAAATATTAATGTTAACTCTAGTATAATTTTATATGATAAAAGCGTCCACAAAATAAGTATATAAAAATATTTAAGAACTCGTGAATATCTCTTCCAAATATTCCTAATTTTACTCAAAAAATTAGGCTATTCTATAAAATATTAAGAAAACATTGTCTTTTATTCTTTCTGTTTCGTTCTTTATTGAGTCAAGATCAAGCCTTCTTCACTTTTATCTTTTTCTAAGCTAATTCTGGAGTAGTATCTTCATCATCTACTTTGATTGTAACATCATGCTGGATCTGGACTTCTCATGCTATTGTCTTCCTTGGGCTAATTCATTTTTTATCTTCCCATCTAACTTTACAAGTAATTTGAATGAGAACAAATGTTAATGAGAACAAATGTTAATTTTATATATATATAGTTAATAAGAACAAATGTTAATTATATATATGACAATTTTTCTATGTTTCTAATTCATTACTTAAGTTAGGATCATCTTTAATTATCTCTCTTGATCGTATGTTTGTTGGCTTTGTTGCATATAGTGAAGCTATCTTAATAGTCTTTACTTTTTTTTCTAAATGAAAGCAAGTTCCAAACATCTCATGGTTGAATTTATCTCTCATGTTATGTTAGCATGTATCTTCAAGTTCATCATTGCATTCTCGCTTTTTGGGTAGCCTCCATCATGTGTAAACTATTTTTTTATCGTGTTGCTTTATAATATATAAAAACATCGTTGGCCTTTTATTGGTCATTTGAACCATACTTAAATAATTACTTGATATATTCTCGTAAAAGTAATTAAAACAATGGTTAAAATTTAAGGCCTAATTAAAAACGAAATCCTTAATTTTAGTAAATATGAATTCAACTCACTCTTAAGTAAGGTAATTTGGGCGGTTTGGGCCCAACCCGAAACACGTTGGGCTAGGCTTCCAAGTAGGATTTGGGTAGTTCTGAAACCCAAAATCAAAGAGCCAAGACTGACCTGGAAAAAGCCCAGGCCCAACATGTCGAGCTTCTAGTCCAAGTTTGGACAACTCCCCAAAAAACCTGGCTTAATGAACCTGGACCATGGCCATGTCTAACTTAAAAGTAGTACAAGATGAAATTTAATAAGCATACATTGTATTGTATTCGTAATTTTTAAAAAGGTCTGAGAAAGATATAACAAAAATCCCCTCAAAATCCTTTCTCTTTGCCCGCATTTTTTGACAACCCAAAAAATTGACATGATGGACATTGTTCAACTACTCACATCCGTGTAAACAAACAAAGAATAGGCTCTACAGATTTTTGATCTGATAGGATTTTGTTGAGGGGCTCACTTTTAGGCAAATTCCATTAGAATCCTTATGGAATCCAAGTAATCAAGCAACCCCCTAGGAAAGAAACTATTTTACTTATTGGAAAAATCTATACAATAAAATCTATAATCAAAACCAATGTGATTACAGTTTGTAGTTGTTTTAAGGGTAAATTTACAAAAAAGACCCTTAACTTTGGGCATTTCTCTGATAACCCTCCTCAACTTTAAAATTTCACAAAATCCTCCTTCAATTTTAGGTTTCTCAGTAAACCCACTTCGAGTTTCAACATTTAAAAAAACCCCTAAAAGTATAAACCACAATTTCTCCCGAAAAAATACCCCTCATCTATTAAGTATCTAACTATAGAACCAAATATTTTACTCAAAGAGAAACTATTGTGAATATGTTAAAAAAAATTAGTAAAATTGTGATTAACGTAAATACATAGGTTTTTTATTACAAAATTTAGCTAGTGAGAGTCAATGGATGCATTATAGTTTTGAGGTTATTTCATTAAATTTGTTTAAAAGATTCCAACATTATTATTTTTCTATTTCAACGAGAATAAAAGTTAATCTCACAAAAATTTTCTATTTTTCAAATTTATTAAAGGGAAAAATGCTTCCAGCCCCCAAAACACAACAAAACGTGATGATGTTAGAAACATCTGATGTGAATAATTGTTTTTAAATTCTCATGTTTTTCTATAAATCTTCGATTTTGAGGTTTTTTTTGTTATTTTTTAAAACTTTAGGTTGCTTTATGCAAATTACAAACTATTTATGAGTCAATGTATTATTATCGAGGGTTTGAAAATTTAATGGTTTTTCGTGAATTTTTAATATTTAAGGCGTTTACAATTTTTAAAATTTTTAGGATGCTTTGTGCAAATTACAAACTACTTATGGGTTTTTCTCATCAAATTGATTTATACTGCTAATTAATGCCTTCAGTTCCTAGTAGAGTTCTCATTACAGAGGCTACATTAGACTTTTTAGGAACAACACTTGTTTGCTTATGGTGTGTTTGGGAGTTTACTTAGGAAAGGAAGGAAGGGGAAAAATTCTCCTTCCTTTCCTTCCCCTCAATTACACCCCAATTTGGGGTGTTAGAATTTGGGCCAAATTTCCCCTCCATTCACCTCCTCTACCCTCCTAAATGAAACTCAAGGTTAAAATAAAATTTCCCTTCCCTTTCCCCTCTCTACCCTCCATCCAAACAGGCCATTATAGTTTATGAGGAGTGTAGTTTTAAGCTTAACAATTCCGTAGAGAATTTTCTACTATCATTTTGACACATTAATTAAGTTAAGGAGTGGACGCAAGTAGTAAATATGAAAAGCATTGATGAAGGAAAAGAAGAAAAGAAAATTTGCCATTGTTCATAAGTATTGACATCCTTGTATTTATTACTTTAAAATCACAGAATGTTGGATTGATTAAAATAGTTAAACAAAATAAATTGTCATAGCAATTAAATTATTAAAGTCCTAATCTTGATTCGAATAAAGGGTGCACAAACAAGAACCAATCACTAACAAAAGAAAAAGAAAAAATTATTAATCTTTGAAGAACCTTTCTATTTACAGCGGGGGAATAATTTTAAGCAATGAAGACGACAACAACAACAACAAAAAGAAAATAGAAATTATTATAAAAAAAGAAAAAAGAAAAATAATATAAGACAATAAAGAGACATACTTGTTGAAGATGACTAAAGTACTATCAAAATTGTGTAGTTCTTAATTTATACATATATGTAAGCATGAGATGTTACATGTGAGAGGATAATAATTATAAATAGAGTTCTATTTGGATAGAAATTATGTAATTTTCTTGATGTTTGAAATATTATTTCTTTTAATAATTCATTTGAAAATCAAAACCTACGTGTGAAAAATTCATAATACATGTGCATGATTAATAAAACCACTGTACGCAAGCTACTCCTACCAATTTCAAAGTTGGTCATTTGAAATTAATAATATTTGCAAGCTACTCCTACCAATTTCAAAGTTGGTCATTTGAAATTAATAATATTTGATGATAGAATAATTAAGATTATTTAATTTGTTGAAGTGAGCAATTATATACATGTTGAAGAAGACATTAACAAAAGAGAATAATCAAATACACAATATTACTAAAGAATAATCATAAAGATAAAAAAGGAACATACATGTTAAAGAAGACGAAATTACCATGAAAATTGTGTAATTTCTTGGTTTATATATAGGCATGAGATGTTGCATGTTATAGGATAACAATTACAATTAGAGTTCTCTTTGTATAAAGATTGCAAATTGTATAATATTTTATTACACTAACACAATTCTTATCAACAATTTTATATGCGTAAGGTCTATGTCTCATACGGATTAGGATTAGGGTATTTAGTTCAAACTGAATAATTAGGATAGTCTTTTAGTAGTTCATTTAAACTTTGAAGTTTGTGTCTTAGTTCAAACTTTAAAGAAAGAGAGGAGACATAATTAGGATAGATATTTAATTCAAACTTTAAAAAAATAGAGGAGGCATAATGTGTACGGACTAGGATTAGGATATCTTGTTCAAACTGAATAATTAGGATAGACTTTTAGTAGTTTATTTAAACTTTATTAAAAGTGTTAGTAAGGTTAGTAGTCCTTAATCGTATTGAAGATTATCTGGCTTCTACAAATTAAGTATCATTATCAAGTAAAAAATTAGGTATCAAAGCCGTGTCAACTGTGAGCCGCGATTCAAGTGTGCGAGTGATTTATTTTCTTTTATTATAATTAAATACAATTTAAAAATTAGAATTTGATTAGGATTAGGATAGTTCAAACTTTAAATTTATTTGATTAGGATTATAATAAATTATTAAATACAATTTAAAAATTAGAATTTGATTAGTATTAAAACAGTTCAAACTTTATAGGGGTATTTTTATCTACCGAAATATTTTCCCGAACTCGTGCTTTTAAAGGGAGTATGATTTTTGCTATTATCTATTTATATTCTTATTTCATTTCATGTCATCTAAACTGTCCATACTGAAACTGCGATTATAGCAATAATGATGTGAAAAGTGGAAAATGTATGAGACCTTTGTGATTTCCTTTTTCATTTAATTCTTTATAATTACTGTCTCAGCCACCGGTACATCCTGTTGATGAATACGGGGCACTAATTTATGCGGGAAGATGGGGAATTCATGGGGTATCTCTTCCTGGACGCATTACTTTTGCACCAGGAAATGTTGGGTTTTGCACATTTGGTGCACCTAGACCAATGGAGGTATATACCTAATTTGAGCATTCAAAATCCCTTTCTAGTTTCAAAATTTTCTCTATCTTACATGACTTTTAAATTGATACAGACACAGATTATTAGCGATCAAACATGGAAGTTAATTGATGGCATTTGGGACAAAAGGATACAGGAAATCAGAGAAGAAGTTTCAATGGAGGTTGAAGAAGACACAGAGAAACCACAGCTACTGATGGCTGACCACTTCCTTTAATGCTTCATCCCATATTCGGGGTATGTTTTTTCCCCTTGCATGTTTTCCCCCTTGCAATTTTTTTTTTCCATCAGTAAGTTTTCCCCCTTAATGGACTCGTTCTGCTGGATATTATTTTTGAAAACTTTGACTATTCTCTAATTTAGGTTCTAGAAGGATCATTTATTTAGAACATATATTGATGCTTCTCGGTTATGTTGCACAATTTCAAGCTCAGAATACATCTTATGGATCAAAAAGTTAAAACTCATAAATATCTGCAAAAGTTCAGTCATTTACTATTTTCAGCTTGGAAGAAACATAAAAGCTACTCTTTTACTTGCAGATAATTTTTTGATCTCCTATTGATGAGGAGTATTCATTTAGGAACACGATTTCACACGTTCCTGTTGTAAACTGGAAAGCCTCAAGCAGGGATTTACTGGTGTTGAGGTTTTCATCACTAGGTCTGAAAAGTTGGATTCAATCCTCCATAGAATGTATAAAGCTGTGTTTGGTGGATTTCTCATTTGAAGCCTGCCAGTAGGGACACATGACCCTGATATATAACAAGCTAAGGCCTCTTAATGTGAAGAATTCTACTGTTTGCTAAAAGAAAGGCAGCATAGTGGGGACGGCAGTTGAAATTAGAATAACCGTTGAGTAGGGAATATGGGAAGGAGCCTACGAGGGTGTCTGGGGAAGTCATTTTTTGAGTAAATTATTACACCTTCCTTTTTGTGCAATGCTAATAAGTACCATTGATGTATTGACTCCTCCTTTGTTCTACAGAATTGAGAGAATGTCATTGTATGATAACTTTCGCCCCGGATGTATCATATATTTGTACTGTGCACTAGTTGAGACATATTTATCTCTACGAAGCAGCATGTATATTTCATATAAGTTTATGGAATATTTTTTTGTCTCTCTTTTTAAGAAAACGATACGTGGATTATACTCAGCAGTCTTGTCTTTCTTCTGTAAAATTGATCTGTCTTCTGAATATCTGATCAAGGAAGCATGTGAGCATTTCTCTATTGTAATTGGTATTTCTTTCGCATGTTTATTACTTTCCTAATATCTTCTGTATACAACAAGCTCAAGTTGAATCAGAGTCTGAACAAGACCATGCTTTCCTCTATATCTGCAGGAGCACTAGTCGTTCTATGATAATCATCAGGAAGAGAACGTGCAAGTCTGCGAGCATTCTCAGAGTAATTCCTGAACTTACTTGAACTCTTCTGCATTTTTTCTCTTTCACCCTTCATAAGAGTACCATACAGATCTCTCGTCACAGCGGTGAGATCTTCCTTCATAAGATGATACTTGAAAGCACGTTTCTTAAAGGTCCAATCACCGGTGATCCAGTCAAATTCATAGAGAGGAAGAAACCGATGCCCAAATTCTGCAACAAACTCTAAACACTCTAAAACGAAAGCAAACTCATCCTTTGCCATGTAATATGAGAAGCTAATCCTCGTCCATCCAGGCTTCAGCCCGTTATAGCCCTGTAAAAAAATGATTCATTCATTAGTCTAAGTAGCATTTTCCCAATATATTTCTATGTTATTGATAGTTACCTTGTCTATAAGGTCTCGTATTTTAAGAGACATCCTCTCATTTATACCAAGTAAATAGTGACCGTAAGGGCCTGCACAAGCACAACCGCCACGAGCTTGGACACCGAAGAGATCATTAAACAGTTTTGCGACGAACCTCCCATTAAGTGGCTTTCCTTTCTTAGCGAATATATTCTCGCTACCATTACTTAGTTCGTAATCCATGTGGCTCGTCGAATTTTCATTAGGAAACACGAGAAAGGAGATAACGGGTAGTCTTTTGACACGGGTGTTTCCTAGAATGTAAACGTTCGGATTTGGAAGCAGCCTTCTCATTGCAGTTTCGATGTAAACAGTTTCGTAAAGGTCAATGAGATCATGTCCAACGTATTCCTTTACCCAGAATGTCAAAGCTGCTCGTATCTTTTGTATGATCTGTGGAGTTCCTGCGTCTTCTCTCTCTTCAATATCCTCATAGTACAATGTATCCTACAAATTGAATGGCAAATATATGAGAAGTCTGAAAATTTTCCGAGTTCGGTTTTTTTTCACTGTTAGTCCCTTAAATCTTTCACATTTTGAAATTAGTCACTCAAACCATTAAAATTGCTGTTAGTTCCTCCTCCTTAAGTCATATTGAAATTAGTCCCTCAAATCATTGAAACTGCTATTATGTCCGCAGATTCTCAAAGTCGTTTCAAGTTAATCCCTCAAGTTGCTACTTATACTCTTAATTGGAGAGACTAGTTTCAAAATAACTCGAGAACTTAGGGACCTGATACACGTTTCAATGATTTGAGGGACCAAAAACATGTTGAGAATTGGAGGACTACTTTCAAAATTTGAAAGATGCAAGGGACTAATATCGGATAAAACCCTTTCGGGTTAGGTGAAGTCCGGGTGAATTCTAGCTTACATTCTCATTGAAGCCATTGACGTAGGCAACAGTTCCACCTCCACAAGTTGAGGGAGGAGAGTCTTTTAGTTGGTAGAGGGATTTGTTCATCACAAGGATGCCCGGAGTTCCTGGGCCGCCGGCGAACTTATGTGGACTGAGGAATATCGCATCATATCCTTCGACATCTCCTGATTTCATGTCGATATCTACGTACGGACCGCTGAAATGATAACCACACATGTCACTTTTGCATAGCATAGATCAGTCCTCATAGGTTATTATTTCATAAGTTATTCTCTCTGAAATGATAGATGACTATAGCTTTAACAGTAGACTAAAATGATATAGGTGACTTGTTTTATTAGTTTAAATGACGCCGGTAGCAATTTTCTTGGGCTACGCAGGTTATTTTCATTCCTTGAAAGATGCAGAAATGATTAAAATTATGAAAATAATAACTTATTAATGTAAGCATTATATCCTTCCATATCTCATGATCTCATGTTGATGTTTACGTATGGAGTGCTGAACAATAAACCATGTAACTTTTTTGTATGTCATCGATCAGCATGCAAGTTGTGGTTTGAAAAAAAAGGGAGATATTCGAAACTGTACACAAGATATTATAGCTGACTTGTTTTTATTTGTTTAATTCATGTGGGTACCAAAATTTCTTTGTTTACATGCGATATTTGACAATTCCCATTGCTTGTGACATGTAGAACTTATTAAAAAAAAAAAGCCGAAGGCGTGTATCTTTCCATGGAAACTTGAAGCATGAACTGCTTTTTAAAAAAATAGCTTGATAGCATCATCTCAACCTGAAACAGATAAAACAAGGCAAAGCTTTCCCAGGGAAAAAGTGTTTAATATTACAAATTTAAAAACTTTAGGATTAATTTGATTTGACAATATCATGCACACCAGCATGAAACTGAGATGTGAACAAAGACCAAACCGCACAAAACGTACGGATCTCAGACTTGTCTTTGTAATTGAAGTGATACGTGTGAATATTAAATTCTAAATTTCAAAGTCATACTTTCTTATTTGTTAAACTACTGCGGAAGGGTTTCAGACGTTGAGACAAGGGGGGCCAATTTTGGTCCCCCAATGTCAGTTCTGGCTTAAACTGGTTTAGTTTTGGACCGACGAGATGTTGACTAAAACAAAACCAGTTTAAGGCCGACACCCTGGCCTAGCAAGACCAATTTAAACCCCGATCCAGTTATTTCGCCGAACCAGTTTAAATGACAATCCGAATTCAGGCAGTGGCGTACCTTGCAGCAAAGTCGAAGCAAGCGAAAGCGCCGTACCGATGCAAAAGGTTTGCAATTGCTCTCGTGTCACTAAGCATCCCCGTAACGTTACTACATGCCGAGAAAGACCCCAACATAGGCCTGTTCGCGAATTTCAGCGATTCAAGCTCAACCTTCAACATCTCCAGATCGATAAGCCCATCCTCATCGATACCAACCTCGATCACTTCTGCCAGGCTCTGACGCCACGACAGGATGTTCGAATGATGCTCATATGGACCGATAAAAACTACCCATTTCTCTTCGTCTTTCAGATTCTTCAACATCTTGTTCCTTGCCGTCGAAGGAACTGAGATTCCCATGATTTCCTGAAGCCTCTTGATGCATGCTGTGGTGCCAGAGCCACAGAAGATTACAGCATCGTCGTGGGTTGCTCCTACGCAAACCTTTATGTACTCAGTCGCCTCGTGCACCATTTTCGTGGTTTTATTGCCCACAAAGCTGTCGGTAGTGTGTGTGTTTCCTGCGTCAATGAGAGAATTTTAACAGTTGAAAGCATGTTGCTGTCCTTGATGATCAAACAAGTACAAATTTGAGTATACATGTGTATGCTTGGATATAACAAGATGTACAATAATTCTGAAATTCTAAATCACATCTCACAAACAAGACCTAATTGAACATTACCGTAAAATGGGAGGACTTGTTCTATAATATAATCTTCAATATAATGCAAGGATCTCCCTGATGCAGTATGATCAGCGTAAGTGAGCTTGCGTCTTCCGAAAGGCGTGTCAAACTCTACATCGCATCCGATCACCTGCGACCGCAGCCATTGGATCCTCTCCTCCTCTGTAACGCCGCTTCTCTTCGTGGTTGTTCGGAGAAGAGTTCGGAGATCGACAGAGCTCATCCGGTTCAGGCTACCCTCATGGATTATGTTTTTTCTGTGTGTAGAAGGGAAGAGGGGGAGAGAGGGCATAATGAGGAGAAGAATGGATATATTGCAGTTTGTTGGTCTATTATAATGCTCCATAAATGTTGCACATATGGGGTATATTTATAGGTAGTATAATAAATGCTAGAGAGGGATATTTCTGGGCATACACGGTTTCAAAGTTTTTTTTTGATGGAAAATAGGGCATATTGCCTATCATAAGTATGATATATAATCAAAAATGTGAGATACTTACAAAAGAAGATATCTTCTAATGATTAAAACGATATCTCCGAGATGGAGGAAAAATTCAAATCAGTAGAATATATCTTGGAGATAAGAACAAAAGAAAGCTACCAACAAAGAAAGCAAACCAGAATAACACAGTTTAACTACAAAATCCAGCAAAATCAAAGGCAACAGAGAGGCCAAGACGCGGATCAAGGGATCCTGTTGCTGTCAGCACTCGACTCAAGGATATCTGCAAGCCCGGCGGATCGGATGATTTTTTTCATCTTTAGCGTCTTCTTGGAATTGGAAGCACCTGACCAGAAAAGAAGATAGCAAACTGACTTGTTGATGATTTGCTGAGGAGTGGTAATGAGGTTAAGGAAGATGTAATCGTTGCAGGCTTTTCACAGGACGCAGCTGATAGTTGGGAAACAAATACCCCATAAGAGGCGAACTAAAGCTTGGATAGATAAGTCAGAACAAATAGATAAGCACTGGCTGAGGTTGGTAGGGAGGGATCCTATGCCAATCTTAGGGAGGAACGGAGCCCAGATTTGGTTAGCCAGGTGACACGAAAGGAATAGATGATCATGAGATTCTTGTTTACTGCAGAAGGAACAACAAGAGTCTGGTAGCCAACCTTGAGAGGCTAATCTGTCTTTGGTCTTCAATCTTTAAGAACTTAGGAGCCATAAGAAGATTTGAACTTTACTAGGCAACACTTTATTCCAAATGATATAGTTGTGATGATATCGCAGACCACCATCTGCTAGCATAGAGTGAAGAGACTTGACAAAGAATAATTTTGAGTCTGATATGGACAATCGGATGTTGGAGTAGGATACAAGTTTGAAGCTGATAGAAATTGAAGAAGAGCTTGCAATTGACCCCTTTATTCCTCTCCGCGGGGGCGCCTGATAATAGGTTTCCATTCCCAAGTGTTCCCCTGAAATCTCCCTTGATGGAAACATGTTTGGAGAAAGCAAGATCATAGACTTTAGGAAAGAGGCTTGCTAGAGAGTTGTCGCCTATCCACTTATCCTCCCAAAAGCAGACCCTAGACCCGTTACCGAGAAGACCATTTTACAAAGGTAAAGAAGAATAGGTGGCATGAATGACATCTTTCTAGAATTTGGAGCATTGGTAGTGTGGTGGCGGACTATGTAGGTTGCGCTTGTAGATGGATTGAAGTACCCTACCTACATGGTTGTTGTTCTCCAAGAATTTCCAGAGCCATTTGGAGAGGAGGGAAATGTTGAAGAGGTGAAGGTTAGTGACTCCCAGACCTCCACAAGCTTTAGGGGAGCAGACTATTCCCCATCTGACTGGATGGTTGCCTCTATAGTTGCTAGAAGCCCCTCCCCCATAGGAAGTTGTGTCTGATTTTGTTAATATCCTTGATGAGTCATGAGGGAAGTTTAAAGAAAGACATGTAGTATAGGGGAATGGAGGAAAGGACTGATTTGAGGAGGACGAGGCAGCCGCCAATAGACAGTTGTTTGCTTTTCCATAAGGAGAGTTTACGATGAAGGGAATCAAATAAAGGTTGCCAGTCGGATCTGGATAAGGAGCCTTTTTTCAAGGGAAGTTCTAGATAGGTCGCAACTGCTGTGAAGCATCCTACATAGGACATCAACAACCAGGAGGAAAACCATGGGAGAGAGGGGGTCTCCTTATTTGAGACCTCTATGGCAAAAGAAGGGATTTGATGCAGTGCTGTTAACTATGACAGATGATTTGGAGAAAAACAAGATGGATTTAATCCATGAGCACCATCTGGGTCCGAAGCCTCTAGCCTTGAGAAGGGACAAGAGGAAATCCCAACTCACACAATCGAAAGCTTTGTTGAAGTCTATTTTGAGGATGCAAGCCTCAATCTTTTTAGAGAAGTATTGGTTGATCATCTCGTGCCCCAGAACTATAGAGTCAATGGTAGACTTGCCACTTTGGAAAGCAGTTTTAGTAGGATGGACCAAGGAGGACAGAAGGGGACTTAATCTGTTTGCTAGGACTTTGGTGAAGATTTTAAACATGCCATTGAGAAGTCTGATAGGTCTAAAGTCAGCAGCTTGGGTAGGTGATGGGGTTTTGGGAATGAGGCATATGAAGGAGTGGTTAAAAAAGTGGAGATTGGAGCTGTCTCTGAAGAGATGAGAGAAGAAGGCAATGATGTCTGGTTTGAGGATATCCCAAAAGGATTGGAAAAAAAGGATGGAAAACCCATCTGGACCCGGAGCTTTATCACAGTGGAGACCAAAGACAGCTGACCTGATCTCCAGATTAAAGAAAGGTTAGTCCAATGGTTGAAGAGCAGGGTGAGGTTGAGGATAGAGATGATCCCAATCAACCTGAAAAGTGGAGGGAGGTGGAGCTTTGAAGTGATTGGAAAAATGATGGAAGAAGACCCTTATTTTATCATGCTCAAAGAAGATGGTGGAATTATTGATGGTGAGGTGGGGAATGTAATTCTTTCTTCTGTGGTAAGAGGCAATTTTGTGGAAAAAAGAGGTGTTTGAATCTCCTTCTTGAAGCCATTGAAGTCTAGACATTTGCTTCCAGTAAATTTCTTCTTGTTTGGCCAAAGAGGATAGGGTGTCTGTAAAGGATATTCTGTATGTGATTTCTGAGGGGAGCAGAGATCTAGATTCTTCAGTGACTTTAAGGGAGTGAATGACATTAAGAGTGGCATGTTTTTTGGAGGTGATGGAGCCATAGATCTTTTTCTTCCACCATTTGAGCCTACGTCTAAGAATTTTGAGTTTGGAGTGAAGGGACTAAACCGGGTTACCTTCGCATGAGAGACTATTCGAACATGAGGAAACGAAGGAAGAAAAGGAGGGCATGTGGGTAGGAGATAATTCTTTGGCTTAAGATCCTCTTTTGGGAGGACATGTGGGTAGAAGATAATTCTCTGGCTAGTCTCTTCCCTCTACCCTACAACCTCGCCATCTCTAATCACGTCTCCATTGAATCTCAAGGGAGATTTCAAGGGGACAGCTACAACCTCGCCTTCTCTAAGCACGTCTCCATTGAATCTCAAGGGAGATTTCAAGGGGACAGTTGGATATGAAGGCCCATCATCAGGAGACCAATTCAGGATATTGAAAGAGAGCAAGTTCAAGCTCTTAACCTGCTGTTAACATCTAGTAATCTATGTCCCTCTCTCAACACTAACATGGTCCATTGGCCCCTTAATAATTCTGGGATATTTACAGTCAAATCTATTTACTCCATCCTATTCGATGGAGGTCTTCGTAATCCTCATTGCTTTGTCATTTGGAACAACTTGCTACCTAGCAGAGTTAGGGTTTTTCTTTGGGTGCTCTTCATGGCTAAACTGAAGACAAAGGACGGGCTTCTCAATAAAGGTTGGGTAGGAGACTCATCTTGCTCCTTTTACAGTGACCAGGAATCACACGACCACCCCTTTCTCTCTTGCTAATTCACCAAACAAGTTTGGGCATCTTTCCTCCCCAGAATTGGCATTGCATCCCTCCCCCTACACACCAAGCAGTGCTTCGATATATGCCTCGATCGGTCTATCCAGACTTCAGTGCGGAAACTATGGGGTCTTTGCTTCCCTACCATCTGCTGGGTCCTTTGGAGAGCACACAATACCCTTATTTACACAGGCTCAGGCTCTACCCATCAACAACTGGTCTCTAAGATCGCTCACTATATAATTTTCTGGACATGTGCAGCAACATCGAAGTAGACCCTCAAGCTAAAAAATCTCATCCGGGAGAGAGGCTTCTCTGACCTAGTTTCATCAAGTGAGCACAACAAAGGAGGTGAAGTTCTCCATTAATCAGTTCGAGTCTGTAGACCTCTTGCCCTCCTTCATCATCTTTTGGACAATATTTTGTAATTATCACATTGTTTTGAACTACTACTCTTAATCCCTCTACTTTGTACATAACCCGGGGGTATCTATGAGTGATTTCATGAGTATTCTCCTAGTAGAGTAGTGATGACATAAATCCGCTCCTCTACGAATGGGTATTTTGCGCAAATCACAACTAGATATCTATCTTTTGTATGATGTTTGGTTTCTAAAAAAAAAAAGTTGCAGGCTTAATTGCAACTGGGTTTTTGAATGTTTCTTAGAGCAGGAAACTTCGATGCAATTTTGGGTTATAGATGAAGCACCCTCACCCTTAAAACTTAGCTTTCCTTTAAAAAAATAATAAATTGTATAATATAAATTTGTGGTACTATTTCTCCATCATATGTATTCAGAAGTTTTGAAGCATTTTGTTTTTATGTTAATGTCATTTTCTCTTGAAGAAACAAAGCAGCAAATTCTTCCCATCAGTTTGGTAGTAAACTTGCGGTTCTCACATTTATTGGCCTCAAGATGACAAGATATGTCACAGTTGGTTATTAATACGCACATGTAGTAGTTATAATTAAGTTCTCCCAAAATGTTTAAAGCAACCTTATATTGATTTTTGAGATGATTATTCCCTACAAGCATAATTTTGATATTGAGAACATTGGATGGTTGATGGATTTAGATCCTCTCATTACAAATATGTAATTGGGAACCATCTTTAATGAACGGTTATGATTTGTTTTGAGTGCAAAAGACGTAGATTTCATTCAAAGGACATAATACTAGTCATATTTGAAATTGCATCATAATCATTCTGAATATAAATATACTGCGCTACGATTTGAGAAGTGGTTTCTACTCTACAAAACAAGAAATTGATATGATCCAAATCCATATTTCACCTTTTTTTTGGTGTTCTAACTAATTTCATGAAAGGTTCCAATAATTCACATATAATTTAAATTTAAAAATATCATGAAATGATAAAGTTGAAAAACTCAAGCGACTACCATTCTAGCTCCTTCCATCTCATGTTCTCCATAAC